GGCACCCGAGGGAACGGCGGGACCGTGCCCCTCCCTCAAAGGTAGCACAGGGCGTTACTGGGTGTCGCCATGACAACGGCGCGAGAGGGACCACACCCAGGCGAGCCCCACAAGAGGCACCCACCTGCCGCCTCGCGATAAAACGACCAGCCGGAAGTTCCAAGCCCGAAGGCACACCGGGCGCCGGAAGTGTAGGGAGCTGTAGTGCCTGATGGGAGAAAGGGCCGGATCCGGAAATGCGACGGGGTGGTGGTGGCGCGGTGCCTGCTGGGGGACGTAGTTCGACTGGGTAGGCCGCTCTCGGAAGTAGGGACTTGGCATGGCGGGTGAGCGCTGGGCCTGTCGGGAGATGTAGTTCCCGATCTCCTGGCGGCTCCCTAGAAAGGATGGGGAGGGGTGTTTCCATGGGGCCGATCTCTGGCTTGGGCAGCCTTGGGATCATGCGGAGTCTCCTCCTCGCCGATCATCTCTCCCTGCCACGTGCGCCAGCTGCCTGAAGCCTTGTGCTCCTGGAGTCTCTCTGGAGGTTCCTGACATTCAGGGTGGGGGCAGCCCCATGCTGGAGTGTTGCACGAGATGCCAGATACCAGCAGCTATGTCGATGTGCTAGGGGATTATCTGTGGGTAGGAGAGGACTGTTCAGGAGGCATTACCCATGCGCCCATTCGCAGTGTGGGTCCAGCCCTGATGCCCTGGGGAGGAACAAAAGAAGGTGGACATCTCTGGGGGGTGTCTCTATTGACGGGGAGGGCGGCAGATGTGGGGTGGGTTGGAGCCTAGACAAGCAAGGATTGGAAAGAAAGTGCACAGCCCCCAGATAGCTGTGTCCTGGCCTCCACAGGGGATTTGCCCTCATCTCAGCCACAGTTTCAAACCCAGATGCAGAGCCAATGCTGCTATTTGGCAGCGACTGGAAAGGCCACCACTTGGAGTGTCATTCGTCGGGGCTCCTGTGACTTGTGACTGGCTACAGATCCATTCAGTGTTTTGGGGGAGCAAGACCGACATGAGTCAGTGTTTGGAGATGCTGCAGATTCGGCTGTCAGTGTTACAGCTGTCACAGAGGAGGGGATTTTGGTTGGTTGGGGGAGTGGCATGAGGTGCGGGGGAGGAAGGGGGGCCGTGTTTGGGACAGTGAGATTGCAGGTGCCAGTTGGGGAGTGACATTCAATGAGATCGGGGGGGCGCCAATGCTTGGGGGCGGGGCGTGCCATGTGGATGTCAGTGTTTGGGCGAGTGGCATGCCGTGAGATAAGGGGGTGCCAGAGTTTGGGGGAGGGGCATGCCATGTGTTTCGGGCAGCGAGATGGGGGGCCGTGTTTGGGACAGTGAGGTCGGGGTGCCGATGCTTGGGGTGCCAAGGTTTGGGGCTCTTCGTGCGCTGGGTGTCTGCAGTTAGGCAGGTGCGGTTGCTCTGCGTGGGGGGGGGGGATGTTTTGCTGGGGGGGGGACGC